AGGTTGAAATACTTAAACTAAAGGACTAACTACATTGGTATACATACGGAACTGGCTCAAGACATAAGAAAACAGTTTCAAGAAATAAGATTTTCACTTGAAATAGAGCATCTATCAATATCAGTTGCTATTATTAATGTCTTAAGAGTTAGTTATTGTCCATTTACCCTATGAACAGATGTTGCCAGGACAGAGGTCTTGCTAGGAATGTGAATCTAAAGTTTATCATTACCATTGAATTAAAAGGTTGTGTACTGTCTTTGTTTTAGACATTGATTTTCTGCTAAAGCTATTGTTGGAAATTTGACAACTTTTCTGCTTAGGCTATTGTTCTCCAATCAATTTTTAATACTTAAATCGTAAAGGGTTGCAGGATCTTTAGAAATTTATACATAAATCACCAAGAAGAAGAAATTGATACATAGTGCATATGAAATCAGATTTAACATGGTATTGTTGCATATGAATGAAATTGCAAAGCTGAAGGACGACATGATCAAGAAAGAAAAAGGATTTTCAAACTATCAATAGGAAAACAGAATAATTTTTATAATAAATAATAATATAGGTAGATTTTTTTATGCAATCTTATTGAATTTCCTAATTATTTACCATATTTACGAGTTTGAGACTGTCACTGTATTTTGCGTGTTCAGACTTCTAATTCATTGGATGTTTTCGCAAAACTTTTTAACTGCACTATTTGCTCTCTGGCAACATACTTTTGGCAAGTGTGTATATTTAAAAAAAAAATTAGGATACCCTATTACTCCTATTTAATTTCGCTATTGCTTGCTGCAATGTATACACTTTTTTCCTGATTTATATAAAGTTTTTTGACCTGTTTCAAAAACTAACTTCCATATATTTATAAAGGTTCTCTTTTTGTCATTTGACATGACAAGAGCACTTTCCTACAGACACAAATCAAGTGTGGGTCCCACGCTTAAAAAAAAAAAAATCAAACTAAAGTCAGGATACGACGCCATATCCTTAGAATACGACGCCGTATCCTTGTTGCAAGAATGAACAGTGCCATTCCTGCAACATGATTCTTATATTTCCCTTGTTTATAAAGGTTGGCAAGAAAGTTCTTACTTACTTGGTATATGGTATTTGTTCATGCTATCGTTCGAGGACCTTGTCTTCTTATGTACACAACAAGGCAATGAAGCTTCTCTTGCTACAAAATAATTATTAAATTTGTTTTGGATGATAAAATAAATGGCAAAAGTTGTTTGTGCCTTAGGTTTGGTTAGATGAACAAGAAGTTTCCCGAGAATACCAGAATATTTGTCTTTTTAAATGACACAATTTATATCATTTTATTGCTCTCACAAAGAGATGAGACATATACTTTTTTTTTTTGTCCACTCTCTTCTCTCATGATTTATCTCTTTCTTTCACTTAAAATGACACAACTTTATATCCTTTAAAATGACACATATTTTTTCCTTTGTTTTAATTAGAATAAATACCTTTTTGGGTCTTCAAAAAAAAAAAATACGGAACACATTTTAATCCCTGAAAAAAAAAGCCATTTTGTGGTCCCTATGAAATTTTGAGTTCTTTGAAATTGTGGTTCTTCAAAAATTCAAACAAGATCCATATGAGTCTCTAAAGAAGGACTAATATAGATATTTTTCTTTCTAAGAGATTAAATTGAGTTCCGTATTTTTTGTTGAGTACCCCAAAATATATTTACTCTTTTAAAATTATGGAAAAAGTGTTTGTCATTTTAAATGACATAAAGTTATATCATTTTAAGAGAGAGATAGACACAGAATAAATTTTTTTATTTAAATTTTAAATTAAAAAAAACCACCCACTTTCTCTCTCCCATAATTTTTATTTTCTGTGTCTATCTCTCTCCTAAAATAACATAACTTATATTATTTAAAATAACAAACCCTTTAATTATTATATGGAATTCTTTCAAATCCACTTGAACATTCTTATCGAGATCCACAGTGAAAGATGTTGCACCCTCAAAGCTTATTAACCAATCCTGTACATATCACCTTTAAACTCAAATATCCCCCACTTGAGTGTACCATCTTCTGATTAACCAAGTTCTCGATTAACTTTCTCCAAATATTTGATTTGAATCCTTCAACCATTTCTTTCTTCTTGTTCTTGCTAGCTATTATAGTGTTCAGTGAGTTGTCAGGCCCCTTCAAAAACTTTCACTGGTCGTTTAATTAACTCAGTAGGTTCAATTTATCAGAAAAACTACACCTAAAAAGTAAAAAATAAAATAAAAAAATAATCAGGAAATTAAATAGTGGAAGCACAAGTAGAACAATCATATCCCCGTCTTTGATCATTGAAAAGGAACAAGTAGCAATAGCTAGTTTTGTTAACCCCAAATATGTTCTCAGACAGAACCATCTTCTTATCCAACCTTTTTGAATCTTGGTCCCATTCTAAGTTTGTCCTTAAGGCCGTTCTGAATTTGCACATGAGGTGGTCCATATGCATCCAGTTGCTTCCTTAACTCTTCAGGATTAATGCCAATGGCTACTTGCTCTTGTGGCTCATTCATCTCTGTTATGCTTTATCATATCAAGCCACACATGCATTTCAATCATACAAAGGTGGGCCTAGAACAATTTACACAACATTTCATACAAAAATTAAATAATATATCACGCCACAGAGAATCAGTATAAGATGTGGCAATGGTATCAGGAACCTAATAAAACTCTTGGGACATGAAGTTCCACATTGGTTGTATGTGCAATTAATGTGGAGTTTATAAGGTCTTGGACACTCTCACCTTTTGAGCTAGCTTTTGGGGTGGTGTATCCAATGATTTTTTACATGGTACACACGAGCCTCGTGTCCCAGGATCAAACCTCGCCACCCCCCACTTTCTCTTGTGGAATTTCTTAGTACAGGTTCTGTTGCATCATTCACTCTTGTGTGAGGGGGCGTGTTGAAATATATAAGTCCCACATTAGTTGTATGAGCTACTAATGTGGAGTTTATAAGGCATTGGGCACTCTCACCCTCTGAGCTAGCTTTTGTTGTGCCCTCCACTTTCTCTTGTGAAATTTCTTAGCACAGGTAGGCTGGGCAATATCCACGCTTCTAGTCCAAAGGGCTCTTGCGTGAGGGAGTGTGTTAGAGAATATATAAATCATTAAAAAGACTCTCACCCAACACCTTAAAGTTTTGGTTGGGTTGAGGTGATTCTTTAAAAAAAAAAAAAAAAGAACAAATTTACTATTATAATTATTACATGGCCCAACCATGCAGAGAACACGCATATTCTTTTGTTGCAATAAATTCCAAATTCCAACTGAGCCTATAATCGACCTGGGCTTGGATCTTTTCAATATGTGTCAACAGATATGAGTTATAGCTAAAACTTTTTATTATAAGAGGGATTATATCACATTTCAATTTAAAACATTCTTTTCATTTATACGGTCGTCATTTAATTTATTTTTAATTATTATAAATTTTTATCTCTCACACTTCTTGAATTCTAATTAAAAAATAACAAACCACAACACATTATCTTGAAATCACCTCATGCTCCTTCCTTGAAAATTTACACCTGTTAACCATTTGATTATCAAATTATATAACCCAAAGTTTATATCAAATGAAGGCTAAATTAGGTAAAATGTCTACCAATTCTTTCATTCTTGTAACTAGTAAGATTTGCATTTGTCCATGTATATTCAAATTATTAAAAAAATGAAGAAGCTAAAGAACATGAATGATAAGTCAAGATATTTTTTTCTCCGTCTACATATGTTAGATGTCACATGATATGAAAAATAAAAAATAAAAAGATTGTCATGTAGATCCTATTCAACATTAGATAACAAAAAAAATTCATTTAAGGTGACTACATAATAATTGAAAAAATTATTAAACAAATCGATTATAAACATAGTAATTATATTTAACTGAATTATTTTAACCGAATTATTTTAACTAAAATACTTAAAGGTTGGTTTTTTTCACAATCAATGTAGATTCTATGTTGTATCCAAAACGACGTCGTTTTAGATCAGAAAATAAGGTATTTTTGTAATTATAATTTATTTCAAGGTTATAATAGTTATTCTCTTTATAATTTTTTTTATCTAAAACGATGTTGTTTTGAGAATAAATCTAGACAACTTATCTACATTCATTGTAAACATTAAAGGGGTTTGCATTTGTCATTTAACATGACAAAATAAATTTTCCTACACACACAACATTTTGTTGGACTCACACTTTTTGAAGAAAAAAGAAAAAGAAAAAATTATAGCACGCAAAACAAATCTCTATAAAATTACACAAGCATTTTTCCTACAACATAACTCTTATAAAATTCAACATTAAAATCATACTTAAAATAATATCATTACTTTATTAATTATTCTTTTTTGGTGTTAAAATCAAGAGTAACAAAGTGTCAGTGTGCAAGAATCCAATGTTAAATTCCCGCATTTGCAATTTGTGAAAAGTGACGATTCTCCCTCCCATGTGTAACTCACATACGTGGTTGTGTCATTAAATGAATGTATTATGTTTGTAAGTGTGGGTCAACTACTTACTAAAATTGTAGAAGTTGTTTACCGAAAAAAATTGTAGAAGTTTACTAGATTAATTATATTTTAATAAAAATTAATAATATTAATGACAAATGTTTTATTAATTGGATTAAATATTTATTATTTTAAAAGACACAATAAAATTATTGTATATTAATGATTTTTTATTCTTTTTCGTCCACAAAATCAGAAAAGAGAAAATGAGATTAGAGAGAAAATAAAAAGACACTAAATTTACCAAAAAAAAATACTGTAGTTTCACTAAATAATACAAGTTTGTATTTTTAAAATTGATAAATATTTTTTTCTTATTTTAAATTTTTAAAACAATAGGTTAAATAAAACAATTTAGAAAAAGAGAGTAACAGATAATAAATAACAAGTGACACGACGTCGTTGACCGAATCAAAACGCCAGAGCTGGCTCTGTAGAGAGAGAAAATTGAGGGGTTTTGTTTAACTTGTTTAACCCTCTGTTTTCTAGTTTTTTCAGCTTCTTCTTCTTTCTCTCTCTAACGTGAATTTGTCGCGCAATCGCTCCTCTCATTCGGTACGATCTTCTATTCTTCCTTTGTTTTTCGGTTATGCTTCGTTAATTCTTTCGATCCAATTTCACATTTTCTTTTCCCATTCTCCACGCCTTCTTCGGTTCTATTAGGGTTTCTTTCTTTTTTTTCAAGAAAAATAAAATAAAATTGGGGTTGCAATTGATTTTCATTTTAATTAACCGGTTCGGTCTTCGCATTTTGTATGTTTCAGTCTTGATGCTCTGATTCAGTCATTAGTGATGACATTGAGGTCCAAATAATGCTTTTTTTTTTTTGCGTATGGTTGTTTAGGCTTCTGTGATGTGATTCAGAATGTGGAACTTTGCATCAAGTTGCATTGCTGGTAGTGTGGGTTTGAAAAACGATGATTCTTCAAAGCCAACTAACTCTGCTTCAGAATGTTCTGATGATGACGAAACATCTATTGTTAGCAGAGAGGAAGGGCTAGAATGCCCAATTTGCTGTGAATCTTTTAACATTGTTGAAAATGTGCCTTATGTTTTATGGTGTGGTCACACACTTTGTAAAAATTGCATCTTGGGACTTCAATGGGCTGTGGTGAAATTCCCAACACTCCCAATACAGCTTCCACTTTTTATCTCATGCCCATGGTGCAACTTTTTATCATTCCGTTTAGTTTATCGTGGGAATCTGAAATTCCCTCGGAAGAATTACATTCTTCTTTGGATGGTTGAGAGCATGAATGGTGATAGAGTTAAGTCACATTCAAGTGATTCAACTTTCTGTGGTGATCATCAACAAGTCTGGCCAACTAAAGACAATTATTTAGCCATGGGAAGCCATGGAGAATTGGTTTGCCATCCAGATGAATCATTGAGTTCCAATCGATATCTTGGTGATAATGGTGATTACCTCAGTATGGAAAGACTTTATACTTCTCTGCGGAAGTCACTGGTTTTGTTTGTTCACTTGACAGCGAAGTTCCCATTGATCATTATATTTCTTTTGATTGTCTTATATGCAATACCAGCCAGTGCAGCTATTTTGGCTCTGTATATACTTGTTACCATTCTGTTTGCTCTACCATCATTTCTCATCTTGTATTTCGCCTATCCTAGTTTGGATTGGCTTGTCAGGGAAATTATCACTTGAGATCATAGGGTAGTATGGTTGGTTTTCTGCTTTGCAAGCATTAAGAATGCAAGCTTGCTTCACCTAGTGACCCCGTTTATCTAATATGGTACCGTATTGCAATTAGCCGAATTATCCATTTACAAGCTGTGTCATTTCTATTAATTACCATATAAACCTCCACTCAATCTCAGTGTTAGCTCCGGTTTGGTGGGTGGTGTGGGGTTGATATCAGTTTTTGGTATTAACTATGTTGATGGCAACCAAAGCTGTGGAGTGAATTAGGTAATGAATGAATAATAATGGTTGCTTTATCAATATTTGAGCTTCAAACCTGATGTAGTTATCAAGTGGATCAATATTAGAAAAGCTATTGTTTTGTTTTATGTACACATTTAGATGTTCCTTTTAATACGGCTTATTGTTTTATTTTTGGTAATTGTAATTATATACTAATTAAGTTGTTTGTCTGGTTAAATGTGCAAGTACTGTATGCTTAATTTGATATTAGGGATCTTACCGTGGTTGGCTGCTGGAAGGGCTTGCACTCTGGTTGGAAACTTTGTTATATATAAACACCAATGACTTGCATAAAATCCCTCATTCTCTGAGTAATTTTTATCACGCATGGTATTATTAGACGGAGGTATCAAATTGCATAGAAGTTCTATTGCCAGAATCAGGATCCGAAGAGTTACTGGATATATTATCATACCCTACAGATAATTTATTCAATTAATTAATTTCTTTTATCAAGATATATTCTTCGCATATGCCACTTAATTTTTTCATTATTAGTTTACAACAGGTTACATTAATACTACAGGATGGTAATTAATTAAGTTCTATTGTTGTGTGGATTTGTTGGCTAACTTCCTTCTGTTGAATCCGGAGATAGAGGATTTTTGTATTTTCCCTTCCCCTCCTGCGAGGATTTATTTCTTGTATTTAGTTGATTTGGGTGGGTTTGGTCGATCTCGTTGTATTGAACCTAGTTAGGCTTTTCTTGTGGGGGGTTTTGTACCCAAAAAAAAAAAAATACTACAGGTAGTTTACATAAACATGAGACTAAGTTAACAATTTTTTTTTTTTGGGGGGGGGGGGGGGGGGGTTTATGAAAAAAAATTACAAGACGTTTTGAAAATTATAAATTTTTTCCTTGTAATATGACTTTTTTCGAAATGTTTTATATTTCTCTTAGCGTTTGGTAGAAGATTTTTTTTAGGATTCACTATGAAAAAAAATTACAAGACGTTTTGAAAATTATATATATTTTCCTTGTAATATGACTTTTTTTAAAATGTTTTATATTTCTTTTAGGGTTTGGTAGAAGATTATTTTTAGAATTCATGTGCTAATCTTATTTATCCATGTTTGGTACGAGATTTTTACAATTTTTTTTGAGAATTTGAATTTTTTCAGGATTTTATTTTGTATGTAAAATTTTCTGAAAATACTATCTAAGAATACCACCCAGAGGGTGGTATTCTAGAATTTTCATGGAAGGAAAAATTTAACACAATCAAACATATTATCAAGAAAATTAACCCAACATTCTTGGGAATATTTTGGTCTACCAAACAACTTTTTGATAACATCATGAAAAACTCATTTTCCTATCATATTCTTAGAAATCATGATTTTCGGATAAAAAAAAAAAATCTCATTTATCAAATTCCTCTTTAGGGGGTGTTTGGTAGAATTTTTTTTTAGGATTCTCTGGACACTGAGGTTGGTAATTTTAGATTTCTAAATTTTTGTAGAGAATCTGATTTTGTTTGAGATTTCATTTTGTGTGTAAAATTTTCTGAATAGACCATACAAGAATACCATCTTCTGGGTGGTATTTTAGGATTCCATAGTAAGGAAAAATTTAACACAACCAAATATAACATCAAAAAAATTAACTCAATATTTTCAGGATATTTTAGCATGCCAAATAACTTTTTGATAAAATTATCAAAAAATTTATTTTTCCATTATATTCTTAGAAATATTTTTTCTCCGTAATATTTTTTTTCTCTCTACTAAATGTGAAGAGTTTGCAACTTCTGCTGCTATCCCAAAAGTTGGGGATGTGCAGTAAAGAGAAACGTAAGCGCTTACCCTTCAGAAATCGCAGTCTTTCCAACACCAGGCTCACCAATTAGCATAGGATTGTTCTTTGTCCTCCTGGAAAGAATTTCGATGCAGCTGCTTATTTCATCATCCCTTCCTATAACAGGGTCAAGTTTTCCTGCTTTAGCCATTGTTGTCAAATCTTTTCCATATTTTGACAAGGCTTCATACTTCCCTTCAGGACATAACAAATTTAAAATCGGACTTGAGCAATACAAAATGTTGACAATCATATACAATGTTAAGATCCTAAAAGCTCATTGAAAAAAAGAAGAAGAAGAAGTCAAGGACAACACGAATCCATTGCTTTACAGAATTCTCCAATGATAATTAAGTCTTCAATAGGACAAAATTAACTCTAACTTCCCGAAATAAAAGAGGTAAGAAAAAGATAAAAGAAAACAACACACTATAAATTATGGGTTCTTTTTTTCTGCAGTTATCTGCAGTAAGCCCAATACGACGTTGTTTTGGGGCAGAAATCATGGTGTATTTGTAATTTTAATTTATTCCAGGGTTATAATAGTCTTTATATTTATAATTTTTTAAGATTTCAATATCAAAACGACGTCATTTTGAGAATAAATGCAGATAATTTATCTGCATTAACTGCAGAAATATTTTCCCCATAAATCACATAATAAAAGTTGGGCAAAGGATTTCTTATCTTCGTTAACCCAAAATGACGTCGTTTTTGGTTAATCCAATAAGACGTCGTTTCTGGTTAACCCAAAAAAAACATCGTTTTGTGGTGAAATTTAAGGTGTTTTTGTAATTTTAATTTATTACAAAGTTATATTAGTCTTTATCATTATAATTTTTTAATCTTATAACCAGTGGCGGAGCCAAGCTACAATTGGAGCTCGGGCCAAAAAATTATATGTGTATTTATTTTTCTTAATTTTAATTAGTTCATATCATAATATATTTTTAAAGGGAAAAGTATTTGTCATTTTAAATGACATAAAATTATGTCATTTTAAGAGAGAGACACACACAGAATAAATTTTTTATTTAAATTTTAAATTAAAAAAAACCACCCACTTTCTCCCTTTCATGATTTTCATTTTCTATGTCTATCTCTCTCTTAAAATGATATAACTTATGTTATTTAAAATGACAAATACCAAGCCCTTATTTAAATTATATTAAATACAAAACACCTTGTTATAAAATAAAAATAAAAATACAAAACACCTGAGCAGCAGATAGTATCAAAAAGAGCTATAATTTTATTAAATATTTTTTAATTTTATTAAATGTATTTAAATTTTTTTATATAAGTGAAATGAAACACATAACTTAATACAACTTACCTAGATCTCTCACTAAATATATTTTATTTTTTGATAGGGCCAAATTATAAATTTTAGCCCGGGCCAAATTAAATTTTAGACTGGGTCAAATTATAATTAATTATATAATTATCAGAGAAATATTTCTGCAGTTAATGCAGATAAATTATGTGCATTTACTTCCAAAACGAACTCGTTTTGGAATTGAAAGATTAGAAAATTATAATTATAAAGACTATAATAATCCTGAAATAAATTAAAATTAAAAAAACACCATGATTTTCGCTCCAAAACGACATTGTATTGGGCTTACTGCAAATAATTTATCTGTAGTAACTGCAGAAAAAATGAACCCTATAATTATACATGATAAATACAATTTGTTAAAATTTAGCTCGGACCGATGCCACCCCTAGACAACATGTGGCTCTGCCATTGCTTACAACCCAAAATCACATCGTTTTGAGCTGACAAATACTTTTCCCATAAAAGTTATACATAATAGAGAAATGGAAAGTGTCACCTGCAAATCTGCAATACCCCGACACGCTTTTTTTTTTGAAAACTTTGCATGTCGGACACGTGTTCGACACGGACACGCTCTGACATACGGTCAACATTTTGAGACACGTAGTCAACTCTCCGACACGCTCTGACACGTTTTTTCGACACGCAGTCAATTTTTTTCGACACGTGGTCAACGCTCCGAGATGTTTTTTATTTTAAGTCTTAATTTATTTTATTAATTAAAAATAAAAAAATATATTTATAAATCACTTTTTTTCTGTAATGAAATTTGACATGAAAAATTAACAAGGTACGAATTTTTTTTAATATCTATGTTATGAAATTTGAATATTTGATTAGTTATATGACTTGTTATGTACTGTTGTATGTATTAAATAGAAATTATATTATATATATTAAAAATATTATTTAATATCAAAATATGTCCCAACGTGTCGAAATATGCAATTTTTAAAAATTAACGTGTCGGCTTGTCGTGTTGTGTCCCGAGTCCCGTATCTCGTGTCAGTGTCCATGCATCGTAGAAGGTCACAACCTTGGTCGATAACTGATTGGCATCCTCTAATGGACACTATTGCAGATTTTAGAGCCTGCTGAGATATTTGAAATTCTCTAAGAGAGCGTTTTGTTGTGGAGAAATTTTTTGAATAATAGGAAAATGTAATTGATAGGGAAGTGGTTGGAAAGTGACTTTGGTAGAAAAATGTAAAAAAAGTTGTTTGGTTGAGTAAAAATTTACCAGAAAAATTATGTGAAATTCTTGAATGTGTGTTTGGTTGAAGATAAAATATTGATGGGTAAATTTAGTGAAATTACAAAATAACCCTCCGACTAAATAACCCTTTTATTTTACAAACTTATTGACCCAACGGCAACATCCACAACGTCTTTCTCTGTCTATGTTTGCCATCTCTGTCTCTCTCCCACTCCGTCTCCGTCTCTATTTATGTTTGCCATCTCTCCCACTCCCTTGCTAGTTGACGCCATTAGCATCAACTTCAAGCTAATGGCGCCAACTTTGACGTTAAAAGCCAAGAACAATGGTAGAGAGGAGAACAAATGAATCCCCATATTCGCTGTTGGAAAACATGGTAGAGAGGAGAAAGTTGAGCACTTGGTTCTTGGTTCTAGATGGGCTAGAGAAAGCCCTGATACAACTAACAATGAATTGGATTAGTATGGCTGCCTATGACCTTACCAAAGGGACTTAATGTAAGGAAAATAGAGTTGTATTTCATATATTTGCCAAAACTTTGACATTACAAATATTAAAATAGTAACATTTGGATAGACATACTTTAATATTCGATATCAAAGACTGAAGGTTGGAGATAAAGTTTAAAGATTCGTCAAATTAATTAATCTTATTTATTTTCTTTTGGCTTCCTTTTGATTATATGTTGCCTTTTGACTTTGAGAGTTTTTTCTTTTTTCTTTTTTCTATACTCCCTTTTAGGATCCCATAAATTTTAGGGTTTTGTATCTATAATTTAACATGACCACAATAATTTTCCTACACACACAATATTTTGTGGGACCCACAATTTTTGAAACCAAAAAAAAAAAAAAAACTCTGGCACGCAAAACGAATCTCTATAACATAACACAATCACTTTTCCTACAACATAACTCTTATTAAACCCTAAATTTTATCATGTAAATTGTCTATTTATAGTTTTCTTTATTTTGATTAATAAAATTTACTTTTTTGTTTACTTCTTCTCTTAATACTCTTAATTGCTTTACCAACAATCAAAATGGTTTGGACAAATTATTAATTCTAGAAATAAAAAAATAGTTTAGACCTTGGTTATAAAAAATGCTTCTTCAATCTACATCTTATTAGTTAGATAGGTTGATTAGTTAATCAAATTGAATACTAACTAAAAGATAAACATTTTTCAACCACTTGAGATAAGTTTATCTCAAGTCATCCCTTATAATTATATATTACGAGTAATACCTAGTTAAAATATTAAAGTTAATTTTTCTCTTTCTTCATGCACTTTTACTTGTATGCTAACGTGGAGAAAAAAAAAATTTTAACATTATAACTATGTACTACCCGTAGTATATAGTTATAAGTGTGTGGCTTAGGCTTTTTGACCCTTTTATCTTTTATTAATTAATTAATAATCATTTTGCCCCTTATTTGAAATTATTTATCAATCTGCCCCTCTTTAATCGATTAACTTAAAGATTTAATTGGTTAAATGTTCAAAATTGGTAAAAATGGTTGACTTGAAGATTTAATCGATTAAATCTTCAAGTTAATCGATTAAATCTCCCAGCAGGCAATAAATGTCAAATCTACCCCCTAAACAAAAGCAAATTCCATGCATACGAAGCAAAACAGCAAGTTAATAAGAGTTGATTGCGATTTGTATTTAATAGAAGCTGATTATGTTTTATTAGGAGTTGCCATTTTACGAGTTGGTTACAGATTGTCATTTATAATTAAATACAAAATACAATTAATTCCTATTAAATACAAAACACAATCAGCTCCTATTAAATACAAAACGCAATCAATCAATGCTTTCACGCTCATTTGGTATATTTACTCATTTTATTGAAATGTTGCCCATAAATAGGCTCAGAATTACAAATTACAAATAAATTTGAATGGGTGATAATCTGTAACCAACTCATAAAATGGCAACTCTTAATAAAACGCAATCAGCTCCTATTAAATACAAAACACATTCAATTCCTATTAAATAGAAAACGCAATCAGCTCCTATTAAATACAAAACGCAATCAATCAATGCTTTCACGTTCATTTGGTATATTTAATCGATTAAATATAAGTTTTAATCGATTAAATCAATTAAGAGGAAGATTTAATCGATTAAGAGTGATATTTAATCGATTAAATCTTCAAGTCAACTATTTTTGTCAGTTTTGACCATTTAATCGATTAAATCTTCAAGTTAAATGATTAAAGAAGGGCAGATTGATAGATAGTTTCAGATAAGGGTTTATTAATTAATTAATGAAGGACAAAAAAGTCAAAAAAAACCATGTGGCTTAAGATAAACTTATTTCAAAGTGGCTGAAAAAATATTTTTTCCTAACTAAAATTACTTTAGATTAATGAGAAAATTCCGATAAATATGCATAACAACATAATATATTAGATAAGTTTAAGAGGAACACATGCACGCTGACGTTCATATAGTTAATGGATATATTTTTTTAATAGCTCAAAAAATAATTAATTAAATTAAAGAAAACTATTAAAAATTAAAGGAAATGAAGTTAATGCTATCTAAAAAAATGGATGCAAATTTTATAAATATTAATTGATTGTTTCATTTTTTTGTTGAGATTTCCATTAATTAATCGATTAATTTAATTCTAGAGAACAATAATTATGAATTGGTGATGAAATATAAAAAATTACTAATTAATTATTAAAAATTCATATCCATTCTTTGAAAAACTCATTGCGCTTCTTTATTAATTGAGAAATTAAAATTATTGCAAAAACGTATAGAACTGAATTGAATTTCAATTTGAAAGAACACGGTGATGAAATCATACTTAATGCCCAAATATATCAGTTTTTCTTTTTGGAAATATGTCTTTTTTTTTTTTTTTGGAGTTACCCAACCCTAATTACCCAACCCTTCGGTATCCCCACGAGCTTCGACTATTTGAGCCGGCTATGGGACTAATCCGGAGTGCGGGGGAACAGTGATGGCTAAAGGTTCAGCCCCCTCCCCAAGAATGCATTCAGCAGGAATCGAACACATATCCAACCCCACTAACTCAGTGCCAAGTTACCAACTGAGCTACACCCTAATGGGTGGAAATATGTCTCTCTCATCTCATGTATCATGTATCAGATAATTATCTCATATTCTCATGCACACAAAAAGTGAATAAAACTATTTACAAAAAAAAAAAAAATGAATAAAACTCACTTCTTTCTTTTTCTCTTGTTTTTTTTTTTTTTTTAAGTTTGTTTTTTCTGCCGTTATTGCAGATAAATTATCTGCAGTAAGTCCAATAAGACATCGTTTTGAGCGGAAATCATTGCCATGAGTGTTTTTATAATTTTAGTTTATTTCAGGGTTATAATAGTCTTTATATTTATAATTTTTTAAGATTTCAATATCAAAACGACGTCGTTTTGGGAATAAATGCAGATAACTTATCTGCATCAACTGCAGAAATATTTTTCCCTTCTTTTTAATAGATCTCATCCAATTTTTTATATATTGCATGGCACAAAATTATCTCGTTAATATTCTTCTCTCTTTTTTTCTTGACGACTTGTCTACAGACGTAGATTTAAATTTTACATCAAGTAATAAATGAATGAAAATGGGCTTGGATGTGAGAATCCTCATTCTAATCCTTTTATCTTATTTTTGGAAAACTCTAAATTTAGTACTCAATGTAGTAAATTCGGTTTTTTATGTCTAACTTCTCATGAGAAAAAGCAAAAGTCTGATTTATGTTTATCAGATTTTATTATTCAGTAAAAGTAATTAATTTTCATATCTACAATTCAAAATTTGAAATTCAATCACATATGAAAAGAAATTCAAAATTAAGTTTCATATCAGCAAAATTTTAGGAAAATATGTACACATTTTGAACAATCATGTAAAAAATAATAAATTCTCTTTTTATGGCATACTAATTTGAATAAAATATTCATCAACGAGTTAAATTGGTGCATTAGAAATTCATATTATAAAATTCACAATCCTCTAATCAGATTTGAAATGGGACCCCAATAATGACCAAAATATGAAGTTTCCTTTCTCTCCTCTTTTGGATTTTATAACAAACGCGCAGTGAACAAGCTCAACAAACCAGAAGAACAAAAACCAGAAACTGTTGTTTTCTTGCATCACACATTTTTATCTGGAAGCAAAAACCCTTTAAAAGGATTGGCTCAGTGTTCACTTCGTTACATTCTGTTCCTTTGTCTTCGCTTTCTGTTTTAACAACTTTCTTCTGAAACTCTGCTATAAAATAAAGGTATGCTACTTCGAGAATTTACCTATTCGTTTTTCTTATTTTCTCCAAGAAGAATGCGGGTTTGTTGAAAAAATGTGATTTTGATGGGATATTGAGATGGGTTTTCAGAGCATGCTCTGATTTCTCTCTCTGTTGCCTTGTCTTGGACTCGTTTCATCATCCTGGTGTTGTTTTTAGGTGGTGCCTGTAACATTTGCTTGAACAGCACGGTTGCAATGGGTTTTGCACTTTTATGATGTGGGCTTGTGCTGAAGAATCAGTTTAAGGTGATTTTTTTCTTCTTCTGAATATGAATATGAATGTCTACAATTGCTTTATGTTATGTTGGCATGAAATGGGCGCTGCATGCATCCCATTTTCCGTTTTGGTTGAATATTCTTCTGCACTAATTCGTTACCTCTTGTATTAAGTTAAAGTTGTTGTTTTTCTTCTTCTTCATTGATTTCCTTAGATGATCGGTTACCTTGTTGATATGCTTGATAAGTGCCTTTTATATTAGAGATTCATCAATTGAGACACCTATATTTGCAGTAAAAGTGTTTGTTAGACGTGGGAATATTGTTTATTGAAGTTTGTTTGTGAAACTGGGTCGGTTTTTTGAATGAAACATCTTTCTTTTTTTTTTCTTTTCATTTTTTAATTACTTCTTTATATATATATATATATATATATATATATATATATATATTGTGCCTTTATGACTAGTTCATGTTGCTTTCATGGTTTAATTATGTTATTTGTATAATCACAGAGTCTTTTTATCTAGAATAAATGCAGAAGAATCAGATGTAAAACAAGTAATTCTGATGCTGCCATATGTTGTATGACACTATGACTAAAGTCCTACTAGTTTCTTATAGTTGTTGCCCAGGCACTTTTTGCAGCTAAGATTTTTGTACATTTCCATTTAGAGATATGGATTTGGAGTTTCAAATCGGAAGAGATCATGAAATCGTTTATTTTTCTTCCCTAAATATAAGTTCTAAAAGTATCCAGTTTTTGTAGCTTCCGAATGTTATGTTTTGTGAATGGTGTTAAACTTGATGTGACATACTTTTTCTATTTAATTTGAAGAGTGGTTGATAAATTTTCATTGCTTGTCACCTTAAAATTGTAGACATTAATTGTTTGCTCTAAATTATGTACTTCTACTGTAATTTTGAATAGGCCTTTGTATTGCATTTTTTGTTTTAATCACTCATTACCATCTTGTATTTTCATTTGCATTACTTAAAAATGGCGTTGTTTTCTTGTTTCAGGATTGTTGCCCTGAATCTTGTTCTGCATATCTCTTCTCTCATCTGAAGGCCGAGGAAAGTGTTGATTTACCAGTGACCCCAGAAGTAACCATGTCCTGTGGATTAAGAAGGAACTCTGCTGGAAAAGCAAGTTCTGGAAATACCAAAGAAAAAGTTGTTCCTCATTATCTTAGAGCATCTACTGGCTCCTGTCATGATATGTGTAAATATGGGAGGAAGCATGCACTGGAAGCAAAGGAGACACGTTCTATACCTAAGAGAGCTGAAAGAATACCACTACACCAAAGTTTAGAAGAGAGTATTAGTGGGAATGGGAAAATGAAGTCAGTTGCCAAGCTGAGAACATCAGTTGTTGATTCCAAGCCAACAAAGAAACGCATAAAATCAGTTGATTCTGAGTTACAGATTTCTGATAGCCAAAAACGAATAGGGAATGAAGTTCTGGTAAGCAGGAACAAAGCATCATTGGTCAGGGCCAAATCATCACTCTTTCCAAAATCCCATATTTCTTCTATCCCCAAAACAAGGAGACCAGAAATTTCATCAAATTTTAAGGTGAAAAGTCCATCAAAACCAACTTCCAAGAAGGTGGAAACTTCGTCAGTATCAACTTCCAAGAAGGAGGAGGGACCTCCAATGAAATCAACTTCTGAAAGGGTGAAAACTCATCCAAAACCATCTTCCCTGATGGTCAAATCTTCATCAAAATCAAATTCCAAAAAGACTCAAACTTCATCAAAGTTGTCTTCCTTTGAAGACAACAATGAGGTTGAGGAAAAGACTTTGTATGTGGTCACAATGGAAAGTGAAAACCAAACTTTGCCATCTGATCAAAATGCAAGCCAGGATATTAAACCTTCCCTCTCTCATTTGTCATCATCACCCAAGGTTTCATCCTCCTCAATTTCGCAATCTTTATCTCAAAAAGACCAAGAGGAATCTGAATATGCAGCCAGTGAATTTGAGGAGGATTCTTCTTCAGGAAACTATGAAACCGTATACACAGAAAATAGGGAGACTTTGGAAGTTGAGGAGAATGGCAAGCCTCAAAAGGATGACATTGTGTGTAGTGAAGACCCTTACTGCCAAATGATAAGTGGAAAACTGGTTGAAACTCAAATTGAGAAAGTTGGCCTGAAGATGCTTAAATTCCGGAAAGGAAATGTTAAGGCTGTTGGTGACAACATTTGTGCTATAACTGATTCAGAGGTTAATTTGAGACATCCAGATGTGCAGGGCAAGAAAGATGGAAAGGGATTGTTAAATAATGTAATTGAGGAAACAGCAAGTAAACTGGTTGAAACTCAGAAGAAGAGCAAGGTTAAAGCATTGGTTGGTGCCTTTGAAACTGTAATATCTCTCCAAGAGAAACAACATTTTGCAACCATTGTCACTTGATCTGGGTAGACATTTTCTAGATTTTCATTTACTTTGTAAAGAAATGATAGGAAAATAAACCCAAGCTTGTGGCAGTAGATGTGAGTCGACAAGCTGATAGCTCTGCACAAAGTATATAAATAGATAGATTTTCCTTGTCTGTAGAAGCTCTGGGTGTAGAGTTGAAAGGGGATCTCATATGAGATGATGTTAAACAATTTTTCAATTCTAAAATTCTAATTTTCTCTTTGGGCTAGTAAGGTCCCAAGCTCTTCTCTAATGATTATTGATCTTATTTTGTGACCGAATTTATTTCATATAATTTAAGGGAAAAGTCTTACTATCTTATATGAAATAACAACTTTGTGTTATTTAAATTGAAATAATCATATTTTGATAAATATTTCCGGGACAATTTCTTTTAGGGAGCGGAGGAGATATTTTTTTTTATCGAGGAAACATAATTAACAGGAAAATAATAAGAAAGTAAGTTTGATCGAAAAGTTTAAAAAAAGATGTTTGGTTCACCGAAATATTATCGAAAAAATTTATTTAAATTTACAAAGTCTATATTTGGTTGAATATAAAATAATGATGGAAAAATAGGTTCAATTGACCAAAACACCCCGTTATAATTTTTTTTTAAAGAACCACTGCATACAAGTGCAGGGTAATTTTGGTCCACAACTTGGAGTCCCTTTTTCTACTTCCCCATCAATCCTAAGATACCATATCTGAAGTGGTATTTTAGAATAGTTAATTTCACAAAAAAAAATAACTATGAACTCGTTTACTAGGCTTCGTATTTATCTCGTATTTTTCTCCAAACTTGAATCAAACGTGATTCTTTTCAATTGCAACCCATACTTCTCGTTAAACCCAAATGAAAACTTGTACCAAATATACCTTTATTCTCGGAGCTGGAGCTCAATGGGAACAAACTCCTATTTATTGGTAGGAGTAGATTTTATTTACAACCTATAATATATACTTCGGGCAGTATATATTTAAGTAACATGTTGTGTAAACAAAAAGTTTAGAAATATGACGAGGGTTTGATGTTTGTCATTTTAAATGACATAAGTTATGTTATTTTAGAAGAGAGATAGACACACAAAATAAAAATTATGGGGAGAAAATGAGTGATTTTTTTTAATTTAAATTTTAAATAAAAAATATTATTCTGTGTCTATCTTTCTCTTAAAACGACATAACTTTATGTCATTTAAAATGAAAAACACTTTTCCCATACGAGTAAAGTTATATTTACAATCTATTTTCGTTTATAATCTCTTGTAACTATATTTTAATCGTTGAAAATCAACTGTTGTTATTTTTGAAAATTAAACTCATTAATTAATTATTAATTCATAATAAATAATAACTTTGATTAACAGAAATCAAAAATTAAATATAATTATAAATAAATTACAAGTATAACTTCTCCTATAAATATAATCCGTTGTTATTGGTATTACATATTATAAAATGGATTTGATGTTTGTCATTTTAAATGACATAAGTTATGTCATTTTAGGAGGGGAATAGATACAGAAAAACGGAAATCATAGGAGAGAGAAAGTAAGTAGTTTTTTTTAATTTAAAATTCAAATTTTATATGTCTGTATCTCTCTTAAAATAACATAACTTTCTATCATTTAAAATGAGAAACCATCTTCCTTTATAAAATACTAAATGAAACATCAGACAAATCACTCCCGCAACTCACGAAACACAAACAAACAAACCTGTTGAAAATATATAGTTATTGACACGTGGCAGTACGCCCCGATAATATAATTTGCAGGAGACTTTGTGCTCTCCCACAGAGAAATCTTTCTGTTTATCTTTATTATTTAGGGTTATGTTTATCTCATTTTACATGAGATAAATAATTTTCCTACCCACACAAAAAGGGGCTGCTTCCCACCACTCTTTTTTCTCTCTCCTCTTACCTGTGAGTCCCACTTATACTTTTATTTCTACAACATGAAATAATTTTTTTCTACAACATAAGAAAAATATATCGCTATTAATAATAACGGCCGTGCTTCTTTCACACGGCATATTACGAAAATGACCTTCCGTTACCCCCCAACGCCACGTCATGAGTGTTGGCCCCACTTAAACATCATCCACCTCCGGTGCCAGCTAGTATAAGCTGACGTCATGCAACAGGTTTCACGACATTACTGGGCCTTCATGTTTGTATTGTGCGAAGGGTGTGACGCTATGATTGTCCTGAATATAAACTATATTATCATTTATGATTTGATGAATGAAACCCCCAACCCAACCCTTGCAAGTAACCATCTCCTTCACCTCTCTCTCTCTCTCTGCATGTGCTGTTCCTGCCATTGCTACTTTGCAGTCTATTTTATGCATTCTTTGACAAAATTGCCCCTTCAGTGAGGTGAAATTACCTAACCATGTTGATGTTATTTTTTTTAATTACTTTTTTGTTTGTTTGTTTGTTTGTTTGTTTTCTTATCCATTTTTTTACAATTGCTTGTAGAGGTGGGGTTTTTCTAGGGTTTGGAGGCTAGGACGAAAGTGGGTTAAATAAGCTAAGGTGAGGGACAATCTATCTTTTTCTTTTTCTTCTTTTTAATAAATTTTTGTAGTTGCCGTGATTCATTCCACTCTGAATTTCATTCCTTTGGTTTTGGTTGATTTCCTCATCTGAGTTAAGGGATTTTTTTTTTTGAAATTTATTATTTTGTGTGTGAATTCTAGTATTCAGGGGTGGGTTTGGAATTGTGTTAACTTGTTTTGCATGTTATTTATGGGTGTGTCTCAGCAAAGTAGAAATTTTTGGGGCTGGTTGAAATGGATTGAGTCATTGAGAAAATGTAGTAGAACTTGATGTTATTTGGTTGGTGATTATGTTGTTTCTGAAGATGTGTTTAGTTACCTTTTGTATGTTGTGGCATTTACTGTTAATCAGAGCTGGTCACTTCGTGGATGATTTGGGAAAGTTTGAACTCGTAGATGCATGAATATTGAAGATTTTGCTTAAGGTTGTATCTCACTGCAATAACTAGGTTCGAAATCAATTGAGGGTCACTTGAATTTTTAACTTAATTTCTAGTTTTTAGGAACTCATATGTATGTAAGAGCCTGTTTGGAAGCAACATTTTGAACACGTTAGCAAAATAAATACAAGGTGTTATTTTTTTAATTATAATGAAAACATATTAACCGAAAATGAAAACAAGAAACTGAACCAAACATGCTCTGAATATGCACCTTTCATTTTCAGTTTGGAGGTAGGAACAGTATTTTATGGATTTGACACTTCTAAGAAATTGAAGTATCAGTACTAGTACTCTGGCAATCCACCGCATACCAGTGCATTGGAAGGATAAGAGAATTCTTGTTTTCTTTTCTTGAACTATCTTTTGAGTACTGTAGAAAGCAACCTGTTTAGGTGAGTTTTTTATGAAATTAATTGCTTCTCATGTATAATCATAAAATTGCTATTTGCATAGTTCATTACTGGTTTCATCAGTTTTTTTTATTTTTCCTGATTACCGTGAAGTATTTAACTGTGAAATTACATGTTTAGGTTTTGTCAACTTTATGAACAACCTAAAGTTTGCAGATAAAAGATTTGTTATGAACTGATAAAAAAAAAATTTAGTTTTGGTAGGTGAAGAAAATGATTCTCACGAAGCAGTACCGATGCATACACTCAGCTAGCTGTCAATGTACTAAAGGGCATTTGAGTGAAGATGTGATATTCTTAGTATTTCATAATTTGAATTGGAATCCCAAGCTAATTGCTACTCTGTCATGTGTGTGCAAATGGTTTGATGATCTTGCCAAGCGAGTTCTATGGAAAGAGTTTTGTCAAACAAGAGCTCCTAAGATGTTGCATGATCTGCAATCTAGTGGGAGCCACATTGTTGATGGGAATTGGAGGGCCCTAGGGAAGTTGCTTATATACTGTTCAGGATGCAAGAAAGGTGGCTTGTTCAATAGCATTCATATCCCTGGTCACTTTGTTTATCAAACTCGATTTTCTAGAACATCAGGAAAGAGCTTTCTTTTGCCACAATGCAGAACTGATGTTTTATATGTGTCTGATCCTTGTGAGCATCTTGACCAAGGTGAGGAGGGAGATGTAGGATTCTTCCGTGGACTTTTTAAGTCATTTGCAACCTCAAAGGTCAGGAAGATGCTTATTAGTAAAGGTGCCAAGCTCCATCCAACTGAAGTCTGCCCTTATTGTAAGGCAAAGTTGTGGAGCATGTTGCAGGCCAAAATGATCCCTCAAAGTGCTAGTTGCAGGCTGGGTTCTTATGAAGATTGTATTGAGTATTTTGTGTGCCTCAATGGTCACATGCTTGGGATATGTACCTTATTACCATTGTCTGATTCAGAAGGGGCATCTGAGTTGGAGTAATACCTAAATGATTTTCAGGTATTTTCGTGTATCTGGAAATCATAACTCATTCCCCTGTCTATGTTTTCTTTTTCTTTTTTTATTTTAATATAAAATGAGATTAAGGATGGGAGGAAATGTGTGTTCTAGTAATTGTGGCAAGTGACTTTCATTGAGAACCGGGTCCATATAGAATGCTATTAGGTGGAATTTAGTTGGATGTTTTAGTTGTAGTTAATCTTTATTCTTTACTATTAAAACAGAAATAGTAATCTATAATTTCATAGAATGTTATTCTTTGTAAAGTACAGAACTTGATTATGTTAATATTTGAAAAAGATTTCGAATAACATTTAATATCAGCAACAGGAAAGAAGTTAGTGAAAATTTAACATTTTAAGACCTTTAGTAGTTTGAGTATCGTCTGGTTAAATCACTTTTTGAAGTATCAAAATGCTATATATGTAGGGGCCCTATTGATAGAATTAATATTAAGGATATTTGTGCAAATTTCGTTGGCGCAAGGGTGGAAATAGGTGGGAGCCCTCTTTTTCTTTTTCTTTTTTATTTTTTTATTTACATTTGACAGTGTTACTTGTGAAATCTGTGTTAAATTCAAGTGGAGTGGCTGTCAACTCCTTTCTTCTAGTGTATGCTAGCAACCAGCCTTGAAGGAATCGTGCTAATGTTCTTCTGGTTTCCTAGTCAGTAGGTTGGGCTTGTGAATAGTGACGGTTGCTTTAGATAGTTTGCAAGAAGTTTTATGTTCAAACTTTGCTGTCATTCTATGGGGCGTTTAAATCTGAATGAAAAATACTAGTTGCACAAACATTTTGTGCACAGAAGTCTTACAAAAACGAGATTGACCATCGTCAATCTGATTAACTACTTAAGCACTTAAAGTTAACCACATGCTGGAATAACGAATTTCTTTCCAGATCCTTTTACATTCATTGGTTATATAGGGTTTTAATTACTTAATTGTATGTGGTTAAGTGATTTAATTGGTATAACAGTTGGTTAATCTCACTTTTGTATACAAAATTTTTGTGGAATTGTCATTACTCTTCTCGAATTTGCTAACTTGCAAGATGAAGATATTTTAAAAGAAACTTGAAGAAGGCAAAGTTGCATTTTGGGGTATTCATGATATTACATGGCATATGTGGGATAAAGATAGACAATTTTTCCAGAGGCATTTCACTTGTGCAGGTGATGAAAATTCTCATTCTAGGAGACTATGATGTAGCAGAACTTAATCCCTCGGTGTCGTAGGTGTTAGACAGACTATTATCATTATTTATGGTTGACCCTAATATGTTGAATGACTGGTTGAATGCTCAAAAAATATATATAAAAATACCAACACGACTTTCACGCTATTAACAAAATCTAAGGAAAACATAGTATGTAAAAACAAATACACGTAGCACAGATTTCACTATAATTATTTCCTAAGCAAACTTTAGTACTCTATTATTCATGTGTAATTATCTAAATAACATTAGACAGTCTTATATTATTTTTCGTGAACTTTAAATGACTAATATTACAAAAAAAAATATAACGTATATTGCAAACCCTACTCGTGCTTCATGGCAACGATAGTCTATGTTGCACCGACACGGGACACGAGATACGACATGACACTCTGACGTATTAATTTTAAAAAATGTTAAATTTCGACACGTTAAGACACGTTTTGATATTATATAATATTTTTAATTTATGTAGTGTATATTATATTTAATATTCAATAATTTAACAAAAAAATAAAGTTAAACTTATAATACCCATCAATTTTACAAAGAAACATAAATATCTTAAATGTTTATATTAAACTTAATAAAATCGTAATCATAATCTAACGAATCTAATAGTTGGAACTCAAAATGTAACGCAACGTAACTTTTGAACATTTTTTGAGTCTTTGCAATGAGTATTGGAGTGTCGGACACGACACGTCAGGATTTTTGAAGTGTCGATGCTTCTTAGATGATAGCAAGTGTATCAAGTAGAAAATATTTAAAATTAATATTAAGAGTATAAAATCCTGAAGGCATATATGCATTAGCTACATTATTATGAAACCGTAACAATATGGCACGTCCTCTTGTCCTTGGACAGATTGGCATAAGTCTTCACAAGTTGGTTGAACACACTGCTGGTATGCTTCTGGGTCAGTTTCAGATAATCAGCACCTGAAATATACCATTAATTACCATTGAGCTTGATTTTGCTGTGTCACCCAAGCCAGCATTCACAAGGAAGGACAGATTTACTAACCAATTTTTCATATGAACCATTGCATGAAAGGTGTTGCTGTGAACTATATATGTGATATAGGTATACCCCATGTATATCGAGGTGTGGTATCTCTGCCTGGTAACAGATGTTCTTGTTTAATAATTTACACTTTATACTTGTTCAGTATCATCAGGATTCATTTGCATTTTCTTATCATCACCCAAGAGATATTGAGTTGTATTAGGTTTATTTTGCATCACGGAAGAGAATTGGTTTCCTTTTCCCTTTTTTATTCCAGTTATATATATATATATATATATATATATATATATATATATATATATAAATGGGTTCGTTTTTTCTACCGCGTCAAGGTAGATAACTTATTTACATTGAGCTCAAAACGACGTCGTTTTGAGGCGAAAATCAAGGTATTTTTGTAATTATAATTTATTTCAGGGTCATAATAGTCTTTTTCATTATAATTTTTTTATTTTTCAATCCAATTTTGGGAGCGAATGTAGATAACTTATCTACATTCACTTTAGAAACATTAAAACCTATATCAAAAGTCTTCTTCCTTAAAGCAAAGATTGCAGTCAATAAAGGTTGCAACCTCTTCTCTATGTTAAACCTATCTCATACTCCTCAGTATTAAATGTTACAACTAGATTACTTCATCACCAAGACACTACTGCAACCAATAACAAAGGCTTGCTGCCTCATCCCCCAAAGATGCTCATCTCCCAAGCTACTCATCATTTCACTATAAATATAAATGTGTTAACTTAAGGTACATATCTTTTTCTACATAATAAAAACCTGCTTGAACCAAATCTGACTTGAGCGTCAGAGTGTCTTGCAGGTACACCTCTCACCTTGTTCTATTGAAGACCCATTGGTTAAAGCTGCTCCAACTGCAGGTTGTTCCGACTCAAAGCGGTTCCAGGCCATTTGTGTAGAGGAAGATCACATGATCAGCCCAATTGTAAAACTGGTTCTGATCATTGGCTTAACTGGTTAAAACTTCTATTGCCCGAAGAAAGAAAGGAAAGTAAAACCTTAGCTGGTTAAAACTTCCAATACACAAAGACAAGAATAAAAAGAAAGGTAAAACCTTAACTGGTTAAAACTTCCATTGCGCGAAGGAAATGTGAAAGCAAAAGTGACATCACAATACGATTATCCAGATATCTCGCCCAAAAGTGATATTAAAACTTACACAAGCGGCATCAAATCAAAAAGCATGCAAAATAGAAAGGTATACAAATATATGAATTATAAATTGTATACAGTACAAATATTGTCGTGAAGCCCTCAAGTACCAGTAAAGTACAAACCATAGTGCAAAATAAAGGCGTAGTGAAATGAACCTTCCGGATTGATAAATAGAGAAATCACCTCGTAGACTTATACATCTCGCTCCTCATGCTCTAAAGCATAAGTACCGAGCTAGGGGGCTACTGATCTGGATATTAATATTAGCCCAGCATATAATATGAAGCCCACACTCAAAAGTCTTCTTCCTTAAAGCAAAGACTGCAACCTCTTCTCTATCTCAAGTTTATCTCATCAAGCTTCTCAGTATTAAATGTTACAGCTATATTACTTCATCATCAAGACACTACTGAACAGCTACCCGTAAGAACCAATAAGAAAGGCTTGCTGCCTCATCCCCCAAAGATGCTCATTTCTCAAGCTACTCATCATTTCACTGTAAATATGAATGTGTTAACTTAAGGTACATATCTTTTTCTACATAATAAAAACTTGATTGAACCAAATCTGACTTGAGTATCGGAGTATCTTGCAGGTACACCCCCCCCCCACCTTGTTCCATTGAAGACCCATGGGTTAAAGCTGCTCTGACTTGAGGCGGTTCCAGGCCATTTGTGTAGAGGAAGATCACATGATCAGCCCAAGTATAAAATTGGTTCTAATCATATATATAGGGGCAGGATCTTTTGACACCAGTGTCAAACTCAAAAAATCTTAATCATTGATCTCGTAAATTTGATCGTTATATTTTATTAAAAGTTAATTAATGAGAATAATCTAATTAATTACAGTCATTTAATGGATGAAAATTAATGGTTAAGATTGAGATAAAATTTATTATTCTTATATTAATATAAGTTGATCCTGTTATTATATATATAATGACAGCTAAAATTCCTTTCATTTGTAGAGTGCTATATGCTCCATTCTCCTAAAATCTCCCCAGCAATGAAGAATAGAAAGTAATTCTGGATTAAAAGAGAAATAACAGTAGTCTCTCATTCCTGGTTGGTCTGAATTTGGATGAGAATATTTGGAATTATATGCATGTGATTGCTAGCATTAACTGTCAAAATAGGATTGCAATTCTCATTAAGTTGCGACTCGCGCAGGTTAAGACTGAATAGTCTGCGAGGTCAAATGACTCTCAATAATAAAGATTCACACAGACCAAAAGTTGTCTAGTTAGAACTAACCCGTGGTCCATCCAAAATTTTACTTATATAAAATTTTATTTTTTGTATCATATTCAATATATTAAAAATTATTTTAACAAATAAATATTTAACACTTTTATAAAATATTTTGTATAAATTATAAATTTTTCATAACTTAATTTTTGTAATAAAATAATTTTATACATAAATATACAAGTGAAAATGTAAACAAAATTCTAATATAAGTGAAAATTTATTTTTATTGACTATATTAGATTTATTGTTAAAGAATGTGTCAAATAAAAATTTTCTCACCGGGAATCATAACACAACCATTGTTGACAGAAAACCAAAAATAGCAATGAAAAAATAATCTCAATACAAACATTGAACAACTGTTCTTAATATGCTACATATTTGAAAGTTAATCCATTGATTTTCTTCAACTACCATTATTACAAAACCTTTTTACTTATTATCATCCACAAAATTACCAAAATACATAATACACAATATGTTTCAGTGCAAATTTGAATATTCAACATGCTTAGTAGTCAATAGAAAATTTCATTTTTACTTATACACAAATAAAATTCTCTATTGAAACATATCACTGCTAAAA